CGTGTTTCACGTCGCATAGAAAAATGTTATATTTTACATATAGCAAAATTTATACGGTTCATCAAAATAAAAATGATATTCAATATTTTAAATAGAATTTTGAAAATGAAAGTTTGACAGGATTCGTAATTAAATTAAAATTGTAAACCTGGCAAAAGTTGACGTGCAGAAATTTCACATTTTACGCAAACCTTGGCAAGAAAAATTACAAATGTACCTCGGTTGAGGCACTCAGCCACCGTGGCTCGATCTTTCGATAATAAACGTGACGAGTTCTCTCGGTGGGATGTAAATTTCACGACACGAGGGCAGTCGATCATTTTCAGCCGGCAAAAAGAAGTTTCACGGAGCCGAGCATTCTTCGTCGAGAACATTTCAGCAACGTCGCGAACAGACGGAGTAAGAAAAGAAAAAAAAATGAGTAAGGAGCCGAAGGTCTCCTGATGAGAGGGACGAGGCCATCGACCCCGGCAAGGAGCTGGAGGTTTACACGCCTAATAAATTACTGTAAACTGGAGCCACGGACTCGTAGCCGAGGGTTTGCACGAATAGTAGTTAAGTGAGCCGGTGATTTGTGCGATATCGTCCATCGTCCCTATCAGTCCCTGGAATCGGATGCACGGTTGAATCTTCCCTAGTAATTTTATCCCGGTTGAAGGTTCAAGTTCCCTCCACGTAGATTCCATTTCTTCTTACTACCGATTTGAAGAGCGACCCAACGCTCTTGAATAGTGGCCTCCTTCGACGTACACCGGTTGTTTCTTTTCAGGGAAATCCATTCGAGGGGATGCGATGCATTGTGACCCAAATAAATTAGTGGAGGACCCAAAAATATCGGGTCGGATTGAATCAGAATTATTTAGGTTGGGTCCTCGAGAACTCGAAAATTTCGGCTACCCAATATTCGAATCGAGTAAGGAATTGTTTTAAAACCCATTAAGACAAAATAATTTGTCGATTTCCCTTATCACACAATTATAACTGTGCTCCTGCTTTCGGTTACATTGATTCCAAGAAATTCCCTCGACGTTCGTCTCTGTTCCGATAAAATTAAAATGGATGTATCCATTTCTCGTTCCTGTTGATCGGTCGTTCAACCACTCGGCATTACAATTTCATAAGTAGGTATCTTCTAGACGCAGCAACGATCCTCCGGGATGTTTCCGGTGTTTGATGCACTTCAAGTAGTGATAGGATGCGTCTGGAATCCACGATGCACGTTTTTTCTTCCCCTCGAATGTCTTCATTTCGTTCCTCCGGTTATCTATGTGTCGTCAGTGGAAAAAGAGAGATTCACTCAGGGGGGGAAAAAAAGAATGCTGAGATCTTCTTTTTGCGCGCTGTCGTAAGCTGATTACGATGATTTATAGCAAACGCGGAGTACACCTTGTTGTAGATTATTTCTTGCAGCCCTTTTTACCGCCTTTCCTTCTACGCCCCTTCGTGGGGTGTGTCGGTGCTTAATCCGAAAATTGTAAGCTTCGTGGACTTGGCAAGTTTGCAGAATAATTGGAATACGAAAGATACGATTTGTTTCTGACCTGGATTATCCAAAATCTATTATTTTTACAATAATCTCTACAATTGAAAATTTTGAAAATTTTTTGAAGAATACTATTTTTCAAAATATATTATATTTCAAAGTATTACTCTTTACTTTCGACACGAATTGATTTATTAATTTTTCTTTAATTGAAAAATTCAGATTTAGTGAAAAATTATAATTACTCTAATTAGTAATGTTCCGGTTGTAAATCTTTGAAAAGGAATCACCTAGCCAGGTAACGAATAGTAATCGGATTCGATCGGATCGGCAATGAGCAACGATCGCGTATTTCATGCACGTGTGTCGGACAAATGGGATTAGTCGAGTGACGAAAGTGTCCGCTTGAAACGGAATCGACGGTGCCGGTTGAAATTCCACGATGACGCAGAAGGAAAAGTGGCCGTTCGTACAGTTAGTCAGGATCGAGATCTGCGCTCGCAGGTTCGTCGTGGCACCTGAGAATTTCTTGTTGCACTCGAATCACAAAGAGTCCTTGCTGGCTGATTGGCCTGACGCCGGATCGATTCACCTAATGAAGCCACCTGGGTATAAGGAAACGCGATTTTCTATCCTGTCGTTCGTGATCTCGCGAAGAAAACAGCTTCTGGCCGGATCGTTTAGAACGAAATACGGGGAAATCAATTTCACCGGATTTTTTTTTCTTACATTTACACCGACTAACTTCTCCCTGTGGACGATACACGTGCTGTAGATTGTCGTTCGTGCAAATGGTACAGTTAAGAAGAAAAGTTTCATACGAATTATTGAAATAATTCAATTTTATTTTCTTTATAAATAAGTTTGGGTCCTTCTCGAAATAATTAATACATATAGGTGAAAATTTTATTGCCTTTTTGCGTGATGTATAAAAGAAAAGTGAATTGATTGAAAAAATTAGCAAAGGCTGATGGATATGAAAATACTTGTAAAAATTCTAGAAAAATTCGAACCATTCAGACTAGAATCTCTCCTAAAAGGTGTTAAGAGATCCCAGAACAGTAAATGAATTGTCACGTGGGCATGAGTCAGGTTTTTATCACCTTTACGAGGCTCATCGTGAATTGTTCCCTACTTATAGAGAATTCGTAGGCGTTAAATAATGTTTCCTTAGTGAATATATTGTTAGTGCCCGTTCGATATAAGCTCCATCGGCCGACACAAATCCTATCTGTATTTACGAGCAAGCTGTAAAACTATGCTACGATAAATTGGAGCGGGCCAACTTGTCTCCAACTGTAGATTCTACAAACTTATCATCCTTATTGTTGACGATAAAGATCGTCCCTTCAAATGATTTACGATATTCTCTGTACAACAATTTTTTTCCAAATAATTGATATTTTAATTTCAATTAGAAATTCGACTTTCCAATTACGCGGAAAGAATCCTAACCGGAATTACATCATGCTAGAATCTAATTCCATTGCGTTTCGTTTCTTCGTTTCTTAAGTAGAAACTTCACGCCAGAACAAAATCAATCTCTCAAATGATTTTAATCATCTCTTACCAAGTACGCTTTGCATCGTAGATCAACGTCAATCCGAGACGGAAAGGTCAGTCAAGTACCCGCCGTGTACTCTTCATCATTACGATATCTTGAAACAATGATTCATTCACTGTTCGTTCGCGTAAACGTGGATGCGTAGGTTTGATTGAGTATAATATAAAAAAAAGAAAAAAGAGAAAATGAAAAATGTCGCAATCAGTTCGAGCAGAGAATTTTTCCCCGATGAATCAACCATCTCCGCGTAACAACATCCATAAAAACAAAATTTGTAACAGGTTTTTTGCGCTTGACGTCAGCCCCGTTGCGACCTCCTTTCGTCGCGGCCGATCAAATGAGCAGGTTGATCCGTTAGGCGTTGCTTCAATAACGCTGCCGTGTCGCAACTTGAGTAAGAGGCAGACATGTTAACCACCACATGCCCACTCAACGTCCGCAACGTTTTCATTAGATGAACCGAGTAGAACGAGGACTACTGGTCTGATCAACCACGTCGCTAGTAGCATCGAAAGTTGACGAGGTATGCATACGTATAAGGTAGGATAGATTTCCCTAGGGATAACAGCGATGTAGGGGATGGAGGATTCATCTCAGAACTTAGTAGTAGGGTTTCTCCTACATTGACACTTTTCTTAATTATCCTTTAAACGCACCGAGTTTCTGGAAAATATGGTAGACTTGGAAGGATATACCGAATATGGTAGATTTCCTTAGGAAAAATGGTGATCTAGGGGATGGAGGACTCACTAATCTCCCAATAAAAATTTAAATCTGAGTCCCTCTGTCTACATTGCCATTTTTCCTATGGTCTCCATTCCCGATACTATACCCCATGCAGACCATGGGTCATATTTTCCGGAAACTCGGCGTCCTTAAAAGACAGCTGACCGGGACTAAACCCAGGTTGGATCTTGAGTTTCCTCTGCTTTAATCTCGTCCATTCGATCTAATAGTTTTCTATTATCCCGTTTTACGACCTCGTAATTTCCGTGTTAAATGTCAGAAATGCAACAGAGAAGATATCTTTGTGCCGAGGTCGACGTTGACCGTGGTCGTGGCCAGTTTTGCAACTTATTCCTTCAGAGTGGTTTACGATTGAAACTGCATCGAGGGTCCTGCGCTCTGATAATGCGTTTTCGTTGCACTTAGAACGATTTTTTAAAACGTCGACGGTCTTTCGTCGAGCGTATAACCTGTTTCAGTGATCTAAGCTGGTTATCACAACCGTTCCCGTTTGCTTAGCCGAGCATAATTTACGTTTTCCTGAAAATATCAACCGGATACCGGGCCCATTAAAAGTTAACCGCTGGTTGTCGGCGATTATGGTTCACTGTCAATTACAAGCAACCCTGTTGCACTTTTCGTTTTCCTTCCCCCCTTTCTGTTTCTTTTCGCTCGGGCGAACAGGTTCTACAATCATTCTGATATAATCCGTTCGAGTCAAAAATCCGATAGATAGGACGTACACTCTTTGTTGGTCCTTTTTACGTGTCGTGTGCTGAATGACGAATAGGAAGTTGGTGAAACTGGATAAGGTGTTGCATTGAACTGGTTCTGTGAAATCAAGTGGAAACTCGACGGTTTTGCCACGGAAAGGTTTCGTAATATGCCGGAGGAAGTAGAATGGTTTGGTGGCATTGGCGTAACTAGATAGGGGCCAGGGTGGACCTGGTTAGAAATTATTTGAATAAGTTATTTTCATGGTAATAACTTAGGAAAGTAAAGGATACCTATATTTGTTTTTCATGCAAATCATTTTAGCATTGGTCTAGGATTTTACTAATTTATTATTAAATAGAGGGTGACTGAAAATTACAGCACCTAAATCTACCCCCAAATTTTTTCTGCATCTACCCTTAATTTTAGGACTTGAACTTGTTTTCAATTCAAATTTTCAGGTATATGCGTATTCTTTCTATTATATTAAAGAAATTTTTGGTAGAAACTTACCCGGATAGCCCTCTGGAATGACTATTTCCGGTCCAACTTTGACATCGTGCCGATAACGATGTATCAATAAGGTCGCGGTAACTCGAAGCGATTTTTGTTGCTGTTTGTACAGCAACACCGGTCTGCCGCCGGTACCTTCGAGTCTGACGACTCTCGGCAAGGAGAATCGATCCAGGAACTCTCGAAGGGGCATATAACTGCCGCTGGAACCGGAACTGCCCTCGGCTGTCGCCTCCCTCGAGCTCGGCAGGGATTTCGGCAACGAAGGCACCTCCTCGCTCGACATCGTCGAAAATTCACCGTTCGACGACATTGTCCTCTTACACTTTTCCTACACTTTTACTTATTTCTTCTTCCTCCTCAACTCGATCGGAAACGAGATCTTCCGTTTCTTTCCCGCCACTCAGCGACGCGTATCATCGCAATCAAACATTTATTTCACCAACGTTGCCTCGCGATAGACTTTGAAACGTTTCTTTAAAACTTTCCAGAGCGACACGTCGTTCAATCTCAGCCACGAAATAACGAATCTCGCGTTTACTTTTGACGGCATTTTTATCCGAACGACATCCGCCTGTTAGCACCACCTCGACGGAGGAGACTCGTCGCTCAATTAGCAACAGGTTTCAGGTACTTTCTTACCTTATGTCACTTTCCACTGAACGTAGCAAAGTAAGCACCGAACCAGAGTATCGATCGAAATTATATCTGAAAATCGATTTCCAAGGATCATTGAATTCATTCACTGTACACTGACTGTTACCGCAGAGCAACAGCGCGCAGTGAGATCAATGACTACGATCGAATCCTTGAATCAACACCGTGGAAATTCATTTCTCGAATGTTTTCGCGTGTTTCGAAAACGGTCCACCTTCGACGTGTCATAGCAGCAAATCATCTCCCTTTTCCGGACGATGATTCCCAATGAACCTTGCATCATTCCACCGAACAGCTGACGATTGACTCAGCCGAAACGATCACAGAACATCCATGATACATCTACGAACTCCTATCTCTTCTTTCTTCCCGAAACAGCACTACTATCTCCCGTGGTGTTTATGATTTAACATAACTCCTCACGTGGCCCTAGGTGATCCGTATCCCTCTTTTATCGCTCCGTTACCGGTCTCTCACCCTCGGACTCTTTGGTAACCGGGTATGTGCATCCTGGTACTCGTAAACAGAGTCCACCTTTCAAACTGGCAATAAGGAACGTCTATTATACAAAATTGATTTCGAGTTTTCGAGTTTGAAGATTTTCAAAAAGGATAGATTTCGAGGTATCAGAGAAAATCTTTGGATTTTCTTTGAGATCACTGGTTTCGTTGGTAATGGACACTTTTCACGGATGGTTCCATAGGGTTTCGAAGGAGAACCGATCGAACCGGCGGACGCGAAGTCACTGACGCCCGGCGTGACTGAGGCAAGCGTAAGAGACCCACAGGCCTCACTAACACTCTCTCGATCCGGTTGTAATCGTGTTGCTTCTACCACAACGATCGCCAGCCCTGTCGGTGGACTGGCAGCGCTCCTGTTGAAGCCTTTTGCCCGAGACTCTGTCCAGGCTAACAGAATAACGTGGCTGTACTCGACGTCCGACCTACGAGGACGTGGGCTTATTCAATTGGACTCTTATTGTGTTCGAGGAACTGTCCTGACAGAAGCGAACCGCCTTTAATAGTTTCTCTAGCAACGTAATCGGGTGTGGTAAGTGAAGTTGCCTGCGTGTACACGTCTCTGGTTACAAGTATCAACAGTTTGACAGGGTACAAGCGAACCGATACCATTCGTTGCTGATGAATTACCTTCGCAGAAGTCGAACGTACCTTTGTGTCTGTTCTTGGTAATTTTGCATTGGTAAAACGATTCGATTTGTTTTTTTTTTTATGGCAAATAGTGTTCTGTAAATATTTTGATTCGGTGTAATTGCATAAACATCCGCATTCTGCTAATAGCGTCCAGGGTCTTATTTGTTCCACTCTTTGTTCCAATTGTAGATTTCACTTCAATTTCGCGGCTGCACAAGCGTGAAATAATAGCTCGGCCTCCAGCAATTTGCAGTGATATAACTGTAGTAATAGTGGTATATTCTTTATTTGTAATTTTGCTAAGAAATTTCTTCATTCCAATGGGGAACAAAATAATTTGGATTTAGAAAATCGACGAAACGTTTGTGTAGTAATTTTCAGTATATTTTGAGCTTTAAATTGATATATCATAAGTGTTATTTTCTGTCATCAAATTTTGTTAGAAATGATACGTTTCGAAATTGGTCATTGTTCGCTGCAAATCGCAGCCGACCATTTCGTATTAGGAATATTGAGGATACCTTTATGCAGCTATTTTCTTTAAACTTTAACCTTTAATTCGATGTATCATAAGCACGATTTTGTGATACTTTTATGTCATCAATTTCTGTCAGACTTCTGATGCTTTTCGAAATCCACAAAAATATCTCATTTTCTTCTCTTTCCTCGGAACGATATAACGGTTCCTTAAAAAGTAAATCTCGTAAACAAAATACGCATCGGTGAGGCATCGCGATCCTTACAAAAGATCGTTCCAAAGTAAAACTCGAGGTTCGCCATAAAACTCGTAGCCGTAATACCTTTCCTTATACAGTTATCTGAGGACGTTAAAGGGGAAATGGTACGTGCCTCGTTTTTCACGAAATGTACATTTAATTATATCATTTTATTCACCTCATCCTCGGTTGAACGATGCGCACGTGAGATAATAAAAATGACGAAGGAAACGGCTATGGTTCCTGGGAAGCTTGGAAAGTGGAACGACCTTGAGTTTCATTGTCGAAGAAATCCTTGCGAGAACAACCAGTGTACCAGAGGTTGCATCATATCGTAGCCAGTGATACGTGTTCACACGATTATTTCGCGATACCTCCTTTTCTTTCTCTTTTTCCTTCCTTTTTCACGGGAATCACACTCTTTTGTTCGACGATTGCGTATGTCTTCGCGTTGTTAACAAAGATACACGGCACGGTAAGGATCGTTGCCACATTCAGGCACGAAATTATTGTGCGTTCGTTGACGAACGCGAAGAGAATTATTAAATCTTTGAGCATCACCAGATAAGATTGATTATGAAACAGGCGGACTGATTAGGGGTTCGTGTCGTATCCGGGTAAATTTATGAATTCTTCGGCTGGTGTTTCACAATTAGAGTCTCAAGGATATGGCTTGAAAAGATTGCGATCAAATATAAAGAATAGAATGAATTTTCTTTCTGGAAAAGTAGGCTTCGAATTCCACAGTTGGAAATGTAGGTTGTAAAAGTGCATGACAAAATCTTTCCTTGCGAAACTAAAGGCAAACGGGTAAGGTTTCGAAGAAGGACTTCGCTTTTTTTGGATTTTACGATCTCAGGATGACATCAGGTCTAATAGGATGCGAGTCGTTACTTAGACTTTAAGAGTGGAGCTTAATAAACATTCGTAACGACTAGGGGTGTGAGTAGCCAAAAATTTGGGTCGAGGTCGAGTTGGGAATTATTTTCGAGTTCGATCAGAATCCCGAAAATTTGTTCGGGTGCCTTTAATTTTGGGACCTGAATATCAACTCCGGACTCGAATCACTACCTGATCATTACCTAACCCGACCCGAGGCTCGGGTGCCCCAATTTTTGGAAAAATCAACTCGGATATTAATTATAAATATAATTTCTATTTTTCAATGAATCTTCTTGACGATTGGTACTATTTCAAAGAAACATTCAAATGATTCATTTCTCCGAGAAAAAGCGTTCGTGGTTTAGCGATCAGCCGCGATATTGAAAGCGTTGAAACTGTGTTGTTAATGGCGCAGGCAAAGGCAGGACAGCTCATCTTGATAAACATTTACGAGTAACAAAGTCGTTGGCATCCTGTATCCTCGAAATGCATTATAGTAGCATTTATTTGGCCGTTACACTTCTTTATGGCTTGTTGGACAAGCTTCCTTGGGCGTAGCCAAGAAATCTGGACTATTGAGACCGTATCGTGGTCGTTATATCTGAGAAGGTACCGCATAACACGTGTGTTTGAATGTGGAGACCGCGCCACTGACGGTAAAACAGTCATTTATATTGTTTCAAGTGGTTTTCAATGTTGCAGATTGTACGGTTGGGAGTGAACGAAAAAGAGAAAAGAAAAAAATAGATTGAAACGTTTGAAAGAAATTTCTTGAATAAAATCAACGATGAAATATCGCTTTATTATTCGGAATTCACCGTGTGTAATATCAGGTTTTGTAGAATCCGGTGTATCACGTTTCTTTTTATTTTTATTCTGATTACACATCGGTTGCTATGCACCAGAATGCATATGCTTATTGTCATACAGGGTGTTTCAAAATACGTGGACATGACGCATCACTTTAACCCTTTTATTGTGAACCTAAACTTAAATTTCTATTTTATTCTTTCAAAATGTAAACCCTTTGCATTAGATGACTATAACCACTCTCAATTACTCACAGGCAGCGTCGAATCAAGGGCAGGTCTAAGGGCACCTTTCTAACCCTTCCTTATTTCTTCACAATTAAATTCAGAATAAATTTCAATTTTTGAAATTTCAATTCTTCAAATTTGTTAACCAAATGAGCCCTCAATGTTAGCCTCGGGTCCCAGAAATTTTAATTCATTCCTAGTGAAGGGGTAAATAGACGACAGAATTCGACAAAGATCATTCATCTCGACTCATCTTCGACACCCAATCCCCCTTTTTAATAATTCAAATATGGTAACATGCACTTTGAGAAACACAAAGTTCCTCGGGTCACGGCACCAAACCGTGTCGAGGATATACCTGAAACGCGGTGTTTATTAATACCGTCGGTAGCAATGTCTCGGTTCATTTAATTCTATATTTACCGCGGTCGCGTTTAGCGGGTACGCGAGATTGCGACTAATCTGTGGAAAGGATCAGTCAAGGCAAGCCGGAGGGTCCATCGCGGGCCCGTAGCACCGATCTTCCCACGGTGTGTGTCGGCTGCTGCGGATCGTTGGAAATAAGCGGAGCCGAGGTGGCGAGAGCGTAGCCTTGCAAGGACAAGGACGCCATTTTAGATGTAAGCGCGCAAACAATTATTATTACCCTTGGTGAAACCAGGGTGCGGCGGCTTCGCTGTTTTCTGTCTGAAGACGATGCCGGCTGAATGCGGCCGCGGCCGCATTCAGATGGAAAGAAAGGAAGAGCGAGAGTTGGGAGGATGGAAAGTGGAATGATGATGCTGAATGCGCGATTAAGGACTTTTATGGTCTTCAAGGTTGCAGACGAAGAATCGTAATAGAGCGAAACAATTATTTCACGCGTTTGTCCTTTGAACCGCCACGCTTTGTTTCCAGAGATTAATATTTCTTCGTGGTGTTGAACCAACCTGAGAAATCTTTTGTGCAATTATTTCTGAGATATGTTAGGAAGGTTAAATTAAAAAGAAACCTATCATTTTCGGCTGGCTAATGCTATTCCAACCCCTTAAGGGCAACGTTATTCGGTCAACGGTGTCAACGATCCGATATCGTGCAGACCGATCTGTTCACGATTCGCGCCGAGAATGGCACGGCCTCCAATTAGGACGCACGCGCTTCGCATTTTTCATTCGGCGTTTCATATGAAATAAATGTGCTAACTAACCAATTACAGCGGGACTGGTCGGTCCGCTCATTAGTGTCATGCTAAAGTGGCGACCGCGCCTTGGCACGGTGCATGACACTCGGTTGCATCGAATAAGATGACGATGATGCTCTCGTAGCCAGGGTAAATTCGATCGTGTTCGCGTGGAGATCACGCGTGAGATATCGGTTCGAAGTTTTTATACCAGCTCGTACGTATTAACAGGCGCAAAGTGGTCCAATTGAATAATTATAGTTTATTATACAGCTCGTTTTGTCGGTTTAATGGTATGGCTGATTTTAAATCTCGCTGCATTAATTTATGTACACTGTCGTTCAAAAGTATTTCCGAGATACATATCTGATCCTTTCATGAAACGCGTTGAAATTCTCTTGTCTAATTAATTAATCGAATTAGAAGGGTTTTAAGATTGGTCTATCTTCGCGTTTTTGTGAAAATTATTTGCATTGGTGTAATTAGGTAGGATCTTTCCAAAATTTAGTTTGGTACCTTTCTCATTCTAAAATTTTAAAATTCCTCAATTAAATAATTAAAAAATTTATAAGTTTCAGATCTTAAAAATTCCAGAATTCTAAATAAATGTTTGATAAATATTTTAAATATTAAGATGAGAGTGTTTTGAATTAATTTTTTATTTAATAATGGAAAAATACTTAATAGACGACAGACCTTTCGCGCGAATCTAATATCCTTTAGTGGTCGAATGTTAGTTACGGTTCTGACGAAAGATAAAGTTACAAAGGTCCATTTTATAAGTCTCGAGAAACTTATTATTTAAAATGGTT